ATCAACTTCCAAAAAATGGGGATACGAGACACCACGGCGGCAACCGAAGTCGCGAACAGGGTCTCCAATCACACCCCCAAGTGAGGAATCTTCAAGGGTGAGTAAGAGTGAATTGAGTGCCTTGTCCTCGCCTTCGCCAGTTGAAGAGCGAATCCCAGGCGCTTCTGGCGCAAGCGACGTCACTTCAATTCTCACGAGCCACGAAGGTAGTGAAAATGATCGAACGCCTCGGAATTTACACGACTCCATGAACCGGGCTGGCAGTGAATCCCCGTTGAGTCTGAAGCGCTCTAAAGCAAAGAGGGTATCGAAGAACCTATCTTCATCTCCAAGCGCAACACGGCCCTCGAGACAAATCGTTCTCCACGACCCGCAAGTGGAAACTCAATCCCGGACCCTGTCCAGGCGTCGTCGATCCGAGCAGTTACACTCAACTACTACTTCATCATTGTCTCAGTCAAGCAAGGGTTACAGTGTGTGGATTCCCACTTCAGAAGCCGAGTATTCTGACGAGTCGGACGAGTCGGACGATGAGAATGACACTGTGACTGACGTATCTTTTCCACCTACTCGTCCTGGAATGCATCGACGAGCTTCATCCGTACCATCCCTGGATCTACCAATCATCCCTAGGATACGCAAGACTAGTCAGCCTACCACTCCTATACAGGAAGCTCTACCATCTGTGGACTTACCAGAATTACCCGCATCCGCGCCGGCGAAAGTGCAAAGGAAGAAGTCAAAACGTGTCAGGGAAGATACTCAAGTAGTGGATAACAACGATGCTCCTCCGCCTGTGCCACCACATCGGTCACCCAGTCCTGCAACCCCAGTCACTCTCAAGGGTTCCAACACACCGGTGTTTACACCATCTCTACCAGGCTACAAGACTCGGAGACGGTCATCGTCGCCTCTTAAGCATGAATACGAACCCTCGACTTGCACCGAGTCTTCGAGCGAGAGCGAAGAAGAGATTTCAGAAGACGAAGACGTGTCGGTCACTTCAGACTCATCTGAAGACGAGCTAGAGGATGACGTTCCCACACCGTTGATGCCACTCGGCCAAATCACTCGCTTCCCACAAGTGTCACCACCCTCTTCGATATACACGCTCCCGAACGGAACTATTACCCCATCTCAATCTGCGTCTAACACCCCCTATCGGGCCGTTCCGCAAGGATCAGGCCAGGCTTCAAAGTCTATTGCATCAATCTTCACCTGGATAGATGCTGGCAAATGGGAACTTCTCCATCCTGTCGAGTGCAGTATTGTCGTTACTCCAGGCAAAGTCGAAGTCTTTGAGATCACTGCTGCCCACTCCAAACCATTTCTCGCCGACGGTGACGAAATCATAGCGCCAAACCGGAAGGCGCCTCTTATCGCCATGGATCTCACCCCCCTGGTACCAATGCGAAAGTCGACTGCCATCGATATTACCATCCGCTCCCCGCCAACCTCTGACTCCCGTCTTAAGACTGGTACCAATATCATGTTGAGAGGACGCAATCCCGCAGAGTGCGATCAACTCTACGTTATGCTCAATCGCTCGCGTATCAATAACCCCACGTATATTGCTCTGCAGAATGCCCGAGGACCGTACGGCCAGAGCAGCTGGGCTGAGGTTATGGATCGGCAAAATGCAGCCCGTTCTGGCTCTGATTCCAACGGCGGCTGGCTTGCTGGGACACTCGGTCGCAAGAATTCTTACCGGAAAACCAGCACGCGTGCAGCATCTATATCTGCGGCAACGGAGTCCTCAGTAGGGACAATGAACTCCGCTCTCCGCAGCGCCCTTGGTCGCTTCAGCTTCACCAAGAACAGTCGGTTCAACATCAAGGGCTCAACCCTCGGCTCGCGCAGCACCAACAGCTTTGACACGGGATCCAGCGGGTCAGGGTCGGGAAGAAGCACACCTCTAACGATGGAGTCGGGAAGAGCACCCGGTGCCCCAGCTGGCATCACCAATACGAAATGCCGTCTTTATGAGCGTGACTCACTAACCAAATGGCGCGACTTGGGTTCTGCACGACTCACTATCATGTTACCCGACCAGACTACACCGCACTCGGTGATGAGGCAAGGCAAGGGCAGCCCAGGACTCCGCAACCCAATGCAAGAGAAGCGTATTGTCGTGGTAGGAAAGGCCAAAGGAGCAACATTGCTCGATGTTACGCTCAGCGAAACCTGCTTCGAGAGAGTGGCCCGGAGCGGTATTGCCGTCAGCGTCTGGGAAGACATCATTGGACCAGGCGGGCAGGTCGGCATGGCAGCCCTCACGGGTGGGGTCAGTGGAGCGAGGGCCCGGGTTTTTATGATACAGGTAATTTCTTTCTGTCTCGATATGGATATACACATGCTAACGTCCTCGACAGATGAAATCAGAGCGCGAGTGCGCTTACTCGTTCTCACTCCTGGGCAAACTCCGATATTAGTTTTATCCACGGCTTTGACACGCACGTCACAACTACGCGTTCAATAAACTTTACAAACCGCAAGCCCGTTAGTCACGGCTGTCTTCTCTACATTCCGACATTCGAGATACCGATTTCTTTGTGTATGTGTATCTAGCATTTTATTGCACATGCTTCAGCAGGGCGCGCGAATTCTTTTTCCGGGATACCAAGGAAATACCACTTTCTGTTCTGCGTGTCTTTATCTTCGGGTTCTCTTTTCAGGATTCTTCTATATAGCGAGCGCATCTTCCTGAGCGATTGTTAGGTTGGTGGAGTTTTACTTTGCACATTACATACCATTTGCGACGTGAGTGAGCGTATGATGGGTGGACTTTTTGCTTATTTTGTTTTTGTTTCATTCTGTTTTTAAGCGTTCATGATGGGATGGTGTAATGGTTTTTTATGCATGGAAAGTCGGGGACTCGATATGGGCGAAAGGGCCTGGAATGGACTGTCTGTCTGGTTGGGCTGGATTGATCCGCATTGGGCCGCATTGGAGTGATGATAGATGCCGTCCGTAAAGCTACGTGTGGGTACCATTTAAATGTCTACGCTGGACTACTGGTGATGAAGACTTGTTTCCAGATCTTTTTGCTTGATCAACAATAATGTACTTACTTCCCAAGCAAACACCACGGGGCACTTGATCATAGTGATCTGTCCCATCGATATCGGATGCACCGTTGGAATCGATCAAAGTTTTGACCATGTCGCTAAGCCGCTGGAAAGATGCTGTATACAGGGCGATGTGTTTGAAGGGGACTCAGAGATTATCATGAAATAGGCTGGCAGGTCATACCAAGAGGTGCCGTGACCTATTTATTTGCTCCCTTGGATATTACCGCACATAATTACATACCTTTGTATGTACTCTCTCACACACTCAAGACGTGCTATTAGCAGTATTTCCAGCACGTGCGCTGCGTACAAAGTATGTATGTATGAAGATGGTAACAAGATATGCATGACGTCATAGATTACCATCCTCTTATTCATCATCAAGGAGTCTCCTAGTGAGTTTTGTTGCAACCCCCCCCCCCCACCCTAAATTCCCCCCTCACGATTGGCGCAACAAGAAAGGTACTACAAAGCTCCTTGGTGCAATTGGCTGATAGAAATTCTCTCTCTCGCGAGTTTGTTACGGTAACGGTTAGGTACTAATTTACTGTACAGTACATATAGTACATGATCTAAGCTAGGTAATACATGTTTCCCGTTCACGATCGGATAATTATTCTATGCAGTGCCACTGGCTGTTACCGTTTCTTTTAAATAGATGCTAACCTTTGATCCGCGTTGTTTCTGCATTACGAAGTAGGCTCCCTTTCCTCCGCTCCCATAATACAGCTATAATTAATTAGTTTCCAAGATACGCCTGTTCCAGTCGAAAAATACAAGACTAGAGAATATTGTACTACGAAGTAGGTTCCTTAGGTTTCCGTCTGCTACTGTACATATGTATGATTCCAAAGCGTACAGAGTAGCCTGTCACTGAATTGCCGAGTCGGAATGTCCGGATGCAAGGTCCTCGTTGTATGTAGGTAGTAGGGGCATCCATTGCAGGGCCGACAACAGCTTACTTTGTATACTGGTGAGCCAAAATTGGAGACACGGTTCACTGTCAATGAACGCTTTTCCAGGACTGCGCACCGACTATGTTTTTTTGTTTTTGTTTTTGTTCTTGAAAGTCGCAAAAAGCTTTTTCATCGGGCGGCTTGGGGAATACATATATGGTTGCAGGAACTAACTACACGCCTTCTAGCCTTCATCGCTTGCACGGGCATCGCCGAACTTGCTCAGAGATATGTCTGGGTGGCCGCTTTTGCCAGTATGTACGGATACTTTCCCACTCCCTGATTATAAGTGGAAGAAGAGTCTTTGATTTCCCTGACCGCAACGTTTTGACTATGAGGGTTCGAAAGACAGTTTCTGTGTGTGTGTGTGTGTGTGTGTGTGTTACTCGTCAGCGCTGTATCTCGTCTAGTGTTAATTTAAAGTGAATTACGTTAAGACTACATGATCTAATCATCCAAAAGGTCTCCTGTATGCGAGGGGATAAGCCAACGGGTGATGTGCGGAGTTAATATCCCCTTAGTAACAAGCCAACGGGTAGTGTGCAGAATAATAGAAGGCACTAGCAGAGCAGAATATCATTATATACTAAAAGTGCTACCTTTACACCCCTATTACGCCTAAAACAGATATAAAAGAGGTAAAAAAGATTTTAAACAAAGTTGTAGGCAGATTCTGCGGACCTTGCAGTAGTAGTGTTGGTCCCAGTCGGGTTTTGGTTAGGAAAGGTAATGTAGTAAAATTATATATAGATTAGAGCAAAGAAGAAAAATGTTGTGATTAGTTTTCGTGTAGTGGTGGTAGGCTTATAATAAGCTCCTTGGCATGTAGATTACGCACAAGAGATTTTGGATTTTTTTCAAAAATCAATTGCCAACGCAATTCGATAGATAAAAAGAAAAGGAAAGAAGTGAGTACATGAGCACTCTCACAGATATTGGAAGAAGTGCAAAAAAGAAAACATAACGTGAAAAGCTCTCTGACGGGGAATCGAACCCCGGTCTCCCGCGACTTGTTATTCATTGAATGACAAGCGGAAATCATGACCACTAGACCATCAAAGATGATAGAAGCTTATTCGAATTATGGAAGTGGTGGGAAGATAAATGATATATATACTAATTCTTTTGAACCATGTATCAGTGTTCTCAACCGCTGATTGGCTTCCTATTTAGTCTTACTGTCTGTTGAGGAGATCCGCGACGCTAAGAATCAGCCCTAAAAACTCAGGGTTCCACCGGATGTTAGTGTATAACGCTCATTGGGTCAGGCATAGTGGTATGACATGTCTATCGCGCCAGACCAGGCCTTGTACCCTTTGTAAGACTTGAGAGAAACAAGCTAGAAACCCGTGGTATGATTCTCATCATAACTACTCCTACCTAATACTACTTAGTAGTACTTACTTATTTTAGCCCCACCACATGAAACATTACGGACTGACTCTCTTCGACTATAAATACGGCATACAAGCCGATGTGGTATTCGTCATTGCCTACTTAGTTGTCGCTTTTATATTCTATACTATGCCCTCCTCCGTCTCCTCCGTTTTGAAAGAAATTGGGGCAAAGGGTGCTAGCTTCACTGATGATGTAGACAATGAAGACGCCAGAAAGGCTCTTCTTGAATCAGCCCGTAGCCTCGTTGCATCCTTGGAATCACCCTTAGAGGTCATTGCACGTATGAACTGGCTTGAGGTACGTCACTCGCACCCACCATTTCAACGAATTTCGGGGTCTGCATTTAACAACTATGTAGCCGACAAGGTGGGCTGTAACACAAGTCGCACTCGATCTTCATCTGTTTGAGGCATTATCAGCAGATGACGGGTCCCCGAAAACTTCTGACGCTCTCGCGAACGAAACAGGATGCGATGAAAGACTCATGTGTCAGTGGTCTTTAGAAAGCCTTCATCAGAATGGCTGCTAATGAAAGTAAGCACGGCTCCTCAAGCACCTGAACTCAGCAGGCTTCGTAATCGAGACGGGAGCGAATGAGTACTCGGCGAACGAGATCACGAAAGCGCTTGCAAAGCGCATTCCGGCTGGTATGACAAAGGACTGGTGACCATTTCCCTGTCAGCGCAGATGACAATGGCGATACTGATGAAACAAGCTACGGCACTTTGCCTCTGACCATGGCCCGACTGCCAGAGTTCCTCAAGCTGACGGGCTACCAAAATCCCACCGACAAAGATAAGTCGGCTTTCAAGTTCGCCTTCGGCACTGATCAACATTACTTTGAATACATCAACCAGCCGGGGAACGAGGGGATGTCAGATTCATTCCAAGCACACATGGAATTCAAGACACTGGGGAAGAAATGGTTCCAGTCTGTTGATGTGGAGGAGGTATTTGATCATCCTACAGATGCCACTCAAACATTGATGGTGGACATTGGTGGCTCAATTGGTCACGACATAATCGATTTCCACGCCGCGTTTCCAAACGTGCCGGGAAAGCTGGTCTTACAGGATCTTCCGACGGTCATTGACACCATATCGCCGACGTCGTTGCCGGAGAACATACGAGCTCAAGCTCACGACTTCTTTAACCCGCAACCAGTTCAATCTGCAAAGGCGTATTACCTACACATGGTACTCCACGATTGGCCTGATGAGTCCTGCCGGAAAATCTTGTCTTCGATTACGCCAGCGATGAAGCGAGGGTACAGTAAGATTCTCCTGAACGAGATCGTAATCTCAGACACGAACGCCGACTGGTTCTCGACAAGCGTCGATATGCTTATGCTGTTTGTGCACTCGGCACAGGAGAGGACGGAAGATGATTGGGGGCGCCTGCTGGGGAGTGTGGGATTGAAAATCACCAAGATCTGGGATTGCGATGGAAATCCCGAGAAGATCATCGAGGTCGAGTTGGCTTGAAAACGTGCCAAAGCCGTTTTCTCTCATTCGTTCTAGCCAAATTTATCTCCTCGTCTTTGAGTTTTCATCCCCTTCTCTATATACATGAAACCATAACGACGCAAAGATGAAGTTGGCTTTGATGATTGCAGCATTCTTTCCAGTTTCGATCTGAGATTTCTCGGTGATGGTGCCGAAGTAGACTTTGCCTATGCGCTTGTACATCACGTCGAGGCTGTCGCTTGCTTATCGTGGGATTTGATGAGCATTCGACGATTGAAGTGCCGGGGCAGCAATGGCGGCTAACGGGGCCAGTAGCAGAGAAAGGAAAATTGCAACCTTCATTTTCGTCAAGTTCTGGTGGATTCGAGGTGCGTATCAAAAACAAAGTGTCGTTGAAAGAAGAGAAGCTTAAAGGAGTGTACAGCGGTTGATAAGAATTGAAAGGTGGTGGAGGTGGTGGTGAGAAGAACGCAGCAGTTGATATAGCTCTACAGAGTAAATTGACAGCTGCCTAGTCTAGATCAAGCCCGTATTATTCGATGTAATATCAGATAATGGATCCAGAATTTTACGGACACTGGACTAGCAGTGACATGTACAACATATTGTGTCCAGGGTTCTGAAACAACTGTGTAATCTCCACTGCTGTGAGACTCTCGCTAACGTTTCTTCGGTAATCAATCATGGTGGAATTACAACGTTACACATGGTCATTTAGTCGGAGTTGATGGAGTTTCGGTCCCACTGCCAGTATGGCTCGATATTGAACATATCTAGATCCCTTGCAGTGCGAATTTTTGACCCCTGACGCGAAGGGCCGCTGCGGCCGAAGAACAAGGTCACGGCCACAACCACGGCCACGACCCTCGGGAACGAACAATGGAAGGTACAAGAGTCTTGCTCTTTTTTTTAAATGAGGATTTGGACCTCTCTTGTCGTATGCAAAAGATTACCACATCCCCATTCCTATAGACACATCTCCGTTAATATGCGGCCCGTCACCGGTGGCTGCAATACCGAGCACGCTTCGTCCGTGCTTAGATGCAGACATTTAGAAGACTCGTATCCGCTGTACTAAGATTCAAGATCCTCAAGCCGAGAAAAGAGTTCCATGAGAATAGCTTTGAGATCTTTGTTTTCCTTGGAAGTTTGGATGAGCTGTTCTCAGCGTTCCTTGTTCAAGTTGATATAGAACTGTCGGAACCGCCATGATCCATCTCTTCCCAAACTGATCTCAGATGTTCATGCCGATGGTCAAACTCAGTCTGGTGAGCTTGGAGCTCTTGTTCGTTCCTGGTCTACAACTTTTCACCCTCTTTATGAATATGTTTGCCATATTCGACCAGCCTCTGCTTCACTTCCCGGCTCGAGATGACTTGCCCTCGTTCTCAAACTCATCTTCAAGCTTCTCGCTTCGGGCTTCCTCGTGATCGAGTCTGACCTGAAAGGCGTAATAGGTTATAGCAAGATTTGTCTTCATCTCTTGAAGTCCAGCCTTGTGAGCTTCTTCTCGGTCTGTGAGCGAGTTGCTCAACCCCTGAATCTGGGGCGTACTGTTGTTTTTAGGCATGAAGTTCCTTGGTGAGAATACTTAGAGCGTTCTCTATAGCGGGTTTGAATGTTTGCGGTGTATCGGTAGAGCCCGGGCTGTCCTCACCATATGAACATCGGCGGACATCTGTCTTCTCTACGTCCGTGTCTAGTTGCTCATCGTCAAGGCTATGCCAATTGTCGCGCTGGCCTACAGATTGTCTGGGGAAGCGATGCTCAAAAGCAGATCAGGGGAACGGTATGTTGGACTGGTGGGAAGTGAGGGGAGTAACAAGGTTTGCCGCAAGTGTTGGAGCTTGGTCCACGGGCTTGTGGTAACATTGATTGTGGTGTTGAGGCTAATAGATAAATTTGGGACTAGGTTATATCGGTTTTAGCGTCATACAACGATTGGACACGGCTTCGAGCTCATTGTCAACACCATAACCACATCGCGAACTCTCTATCTAACCAGGTGGCGATAATTTACCAGGTAGTGATTCGTGCCTAGTTGTCTGGCACTAACCTTGACGAGTGGATATAATGCCTTGATACCCCGGCCCAGGCTTCCACCTGCCAACCTTACTCCAACCTGTAGCTCTAGGTTCTGAACGGTTCCACCCTCACACCACCCGACGCCACAATGAAGCTCACAGAAGACGACATATACCGCTCCTCAACCCAATATCGCAACTGGTCCTTCACACCCGCCCAGCTCACCGCCCAGCGCCTGAAAACGAACCAGCAAGCCAGCGAGCGCGTCAAAGCGGCCGTCGCGCGCCAACGAGCGCAGCGCGCACGACAATCCCAGCTCGACAGCGCCAATACCAGCGAGAGCGAGCGCAACGGTTCTGGCATCGAGAATGGCAATAACACACCGACGTTGGTAGGTGACCAAGAGGTGGTTTGTCTCACGCCGGAGGAGGAGTTGAAGCTTGTGGATACGTTTTGCGATGTGGCACAAAAGTTGGGCGACTTCTGCAACTACCCTGCAGAGATAACGGTACGGCCCATTGCCCGACAAGACACACATGGAAAGAGGAAGGCTGACGGTGCAATCTAATAGGCAACATGCATACAGTTCGTCCGCCGCTTCTACCTCTTCAATTCGCCCATGACATACGAAGGCCAAAACATCACACGCACCGCCATGTTCATCGCCAACAAAGCCGAGTCCCATTTTCTTGATGTAGAAGTCTTCTCTTCACAATGTGGCAAGAACTCCACCGCGGAGAAGATTCTTGCGCCCGAATACCTCATCATACAGGCTCTACGCTACAACCTCGATGTGAAGCATCCATTCCGGGCGCTCAAAGGTGGACACCTCGAGCTGGTGGAGCTAGCGCGCGGAAACCTTGCGACCCTCCCGAATGCTTCACAGACTGCAACCGAACTACAGAATGAGATGCTACAACTACCTAGGAAGGCTGGTGGTCCTGCGGTCAAAATGACTGGCCCAGAGCTCGAAAAGCGCCTGGGAGAGGCGTACGGCTTCGCCGCATACATTCTCAAAACTGCCGCCCTCCTGACGGATTCCTACTTCCTCTACACCCCCTCTCAAATCTGGCTCGCCGCACACCTCCTCGCCGACGAACCTGTTACCCTCTTCTACCTCTCCACGAAAATACCGCCGTCCCACCCCACGTACTCGAAACTCGTTACCACAAT